AACTAAGAAACTTCCTAACACCCCTTTGATTCATCTGAGTCTTCAACTTCCAATTGTGACCTCTTGTGTCTGTGTCCCGTCTCTGGAACATCCCGTCTTTGTCCACCTCGTCTATTCCGCGCAGTATTTTATATGTCATCATGTCTCCCCTGACCCTCCTGGCCTCCAGTGTCGTCAGGCCGATTTCCCTCAACCTTTCTTCATAGGACAATCCCCGTAGCTCTGGGACTAGTCTTGTTGCAAACCTTTGCACTTTCTCTAATTTCTTGACGTGCTTGACTAAGTGTGGATTCCAAACTGGTGCTGCATACTCCAGTATGGGCCTGACGTACATGGTAACAGAGTCTTAAACGAATCCTTACTGAGGTATCGAAAACGCTATCCGTAGGTTTGCCAGGCGCCCGTATGCTGCAGCAGTTATCTGATTGATGTGCGCCTCAGGAGATATGTTGGGTGTTATACTCACCCCCAGATCTTTTTCCTTGAGTGAGGTTTGCAGTCTTTGGCCATCTAAACTATATTGTGTGTGCGGTCTTCTTTGCCCTTCCCCAATCTTCATGACTTTGCATTTGGCAGGGTTAAATTCAAGGAGCCAGTTGCTGGACCAGGCTTGTAGCCTGTCCAGGTCTCTTTGTAGTCCTGCCTGATCCTCGTCCGATTTGATTCTTCTCATTAACTTCACATCATCTGCAAACAAGGACACTTCTGAGTCTATCCCTTCCGTTATGTCGTTCACGTGTGTGTGTGTACTCACCTAGTTGTACTCACCTAGTTGAGGTTGCGGGGGTCGAGTCCGAGCTCCTGGCCCCGCCTCTTCACTGATCGCTACTAGGTCACTCTCCCTGAGCCGTGAGCTTTATCATACCTCTGCTTAAAGCTATGTATGGATCCTGCCTCCACTACATCGCTTCCCAAACTATTCCACTTACTGACTACTCTGTGGCTGAAGAAATACTTCCTAACATCCCTGTGATTCATCTGTGTCTTCAGCTTCCAACTGTGTCCAATCTCTGGAACATCCTGTCTTTGTCCACCTTGTCAATTCCTCTCAGTATTTTGTATGTCGTTATCATGTCCCCCCTATCTCTCCTGTCCTCCAGTGTCGTCAGGTTGATTTCCCTTAACCTCTCCTCGTAGGACATACCTCTTAGCTCTGGGACTAGTCTTGTTGCAAACCTTTGCACTTTCTCTAGTTTCTTCACGTGCTTGGCTAGGTGTGGGTTCCAAACTGGTGCCGCATACTCCAATATGGGCCTAACGTACAAAGGTGTACAGGGTCCTGAATGATTCCTTATTAAGATGTCGGAATGCTGTTCTGAGGTTTGCTAGGCGCCCATATGCTGCAGCAGTTATTTGGTTGATGTGCGCTTCAGGAGATGTGCCTGGTGTTATACTCACCCCAAGATCTTTTCCTTGAGTGAGGTTTGTGGTGTGTGTGTGTGTGTGTGTGTGTGTGTGTGTGTGTGTGTGTGTGTGTGTGTGTGTTTTGTGTGGTTGTGTGTGTGTGTGTGTGTGTACTCACCTATTTGTGGTTGTAGGGGTCGAGTCTTAGCTCCTGGCCTCGCCTCTTCACCGGTTGCTACTGGGCCCTCTCTCTCTCTGCTCCATGTGTGTGTGTGTATGTATATGCATATATGTACTAATGTGTGTATGTGAAGAATTCACTATATAATACGGGATTGCAAATGTGAAAAAAATACGTAGTAGAAAATAACGTAAGGTGTATGTATCTCAGTGTATATGTGCTGAAAGTTTATTGTCATCCCTAGTTTATGAATTAAAGTATTCTTAACTTGTGGTGAACAACCAGCCAGTCAATCTGAGCGCATCCATATGCTAACACTCGTCTCTTTAGAGGATTTATTAAGTATGATCAATAAAAGCACGTTTTATAGGCTGTTGTGTCCTAAATTAAAATGTACTTATAAGAAAAAGTCAGTAGTGATGAAGGCCTGCGTAATTTCATTATAGATTAGTTAGTCATGTTTCTCCTTGAGTAAGTTAACATTTTCTATGGTTTAAAAATATTGCTTCAAAGAAAACTACAATAGTTGGTAAACTTCTTTATCTATCCTTTGTTTTAATTTTTAATAAATTTGAATATTTTTATTCAGTTTAATGCTAATACTAGACATAGGTTTGCATATAAATTATTTTTGTTCTTCCATTTAAACATTTTCCGCCTACACATGCAAAAATAAAAAAATAATGACGTTTTAATTCATGATAATTCAACAGAGCTGAATCACTGCCTGCAGCAGTGTAAGTTTATTGAAGTATAGGAAACAGGATAGTGTCTCCTAACACTGTTCCTCAGGAAACAGGACAGTGTCTCCTAACATTGTTCCTCGGGAAACAGGACAGTGTCTCCTAACACTGTTCCTCAGGAAACAGGACAGTGTCTCCTAAAACTGTTCCTCAGGAAACAGGACAGTGTCTCCTAAAACTGTTCCTCAGGAAACAGGACAGTGTCTCCTAACACTGTTCCTCAGGAAACAGGACAGTGTCTCCTAACATTGTTCCTCAGGAAACAGGACAGTGTCTCCTAACACTGTTCCTCAGGAAACAGGACAGTGTCTCCTAACACTGTTCCTCAGTGAAAACAGGACAGTGTCTCCTAACATTGTTCCTCAGGAAACAGGACAGTGTCTCCTAACATTGTTCCTCAGGAAACAGGACAGTGTCTCCTAACATTGTTCCTCAGGAAACAGGACAGTGTCTCTTAAAACTGTTCCTCAGGAAACAGGACAGTGTCTCCTAACATTGTTCCTCAGGAAACAGGACAGTGTCTCCTAACATTGTTCCTCAGGAAACAGGACAGTGTCTCTTAAAACTGTTCCTCAGGAAACAGGACAGTGTCTCCTAACACTGTTCCTCAGGAAACAGGACTGTGTCTCCTAACACTGTTCCTCAGGAAACAGGACATTGTCTCCTAACACTGTTCCTCAGGAAACAGGACTGTGTCTCCTGACACTGTTCCTCAGGAAACAGGACTGTGTCTCCTGACACTGTTCCTCAGGAAACAGGACTGTGTCTCCTGACACTGTTCCTCAGGAAACAGGACATTTTCTCCTATCACTGTTCCTCAGGAAACAGGACAGTGTCTCCTAACACTGTTCCTCAGGAAACAGGACTGTGTCTCCTGACACTGGTTTCGTTGTGTTCTCACAAACCATTAGCGACCTAGTGAAGAGGCGGGACCAGGAGCTATGACTCGACCCTTGCCACCACAGTTAGGTGAGTACAAGGTAAATAAAACCATAAGTAAATTATGTGAGCGTTATATTTAATAAAATGTTTTTTTATAACAAAATTTTTTCTGTCTCTGATAAGAAATTTTTAACACAAATTGAGTGTATTGCATAATGGAATTTATTTAGTGATAAATAACCACTAATTATAACTAACAATTATGTAATAAAAACCAGTACATATTTAGGAGGGGAACTTTTCGACCCGTCCTGGTCCAAGGACAGACCGAAACGTCGTCATAAGGTTCCTCTCCTAAGTACGGGTTTTTGGGTGAATTGTTCCAGCTTCGTATTGTGACTTTTAATTCTTTCATTATCTACATTATTAATATTGCAGAATATATTAACGTCTCGATTCGAGTATCTATATATTGCTTAAGTATAAAAATCACGGTATAAAAGAAAGATACAAATATAATGTGAAATAATGAGAAAGGGGAGGAGAAATGAGGACGCTGTAGCATCGTCGAACTTCCGATACTTCCATTCAGATAGAACTACGAGGTTTTGAAACTTGTTTGACTAAGAATTGTCTTCCGTGTATGATTTGACAATCTTGGAATAAGAAGATGCTACGTTAATGTTAAGATGGTTGAGTAGTTGAGAAGGTGATTAAATGGGAAGTTGAAGGTGTTGTGTTGCAGTTGAGGACTTGGTGTGTTGCAGGTGGTGATATGTAACGCGCCATCGCCTGCAACACACCAAATGGATGATGTGATAAATACACAGACCTGTCTAGAAGGATGCTGGAAACTCTCTCACACACAGTGGAATATTTTATTTTTTTCAGAAATTATTACTAGCACAGAGAAGGGGTGGGTATGGTGTAAGCTCCAGGTAAGGTGTGTTCTCGCTTCTCTGGTAATGGAGGTGATCTTAAACAGTGATCATAACAGTTAACTGTATTATACTTCTGACCCATTTTGAGTATTTTATTCACGGTTGTTTTCACCATTTTCCACCTTTTTGAGGTTTTCTGAAAATAAAGAAAACGTAAATACTACTAATATTATTTTAAGAAATGAAAAAATATCACTTTTAGGTAGTAAACTGGATTTAAAGTGGAAATTAATTTTCCCCCAATAACTATGTGATGTGTTGACGATGTAAGTGATGTCCGTCGTGACATCACTTACATCGTCAATGACTGGTAGAGATTCAGTCAAGGCTCGCTGGGAAAAATTTGCCATGTAACTTATTTTCATGAACCACATTACCGTGATACCAAAGCAAGAGAGACATATTCATTGGTGTGATGAATGGTTTTGAAAACCGACAAGTTGAAGAATTGAGACACTTATGCAACACATGGGAATCTTTATTGAAGAAACGTTTCGCCACACAGTGGCTTCATCAGTCCAATACAAAGTAGAAATGGGTAAGGAGAGTAGAAGTATGAGGTAATCAGTCCCTCAACCTGGATTCGATGTGTTCAGTCCATCACTCTTGTAGTAAGTGCAGCATAGGGCCAGAGAGGTGGCTTATATACTGTGGTGAGACAGGAGGAGGCGGGATCTTAGTGGGACCTGCCACTAATGTAAGTAGGTCATCGTCCAAAGGTTTGGGCAAGCGTTGAAGTCTTTGTACCAAGATTCCATGATGTTGCAGTGTCTGACAGATGTGATGAATTGGTGTATTCCTGAGCGTACACAACTAACAGGTCAGAGTTCCTACATTCTCACTATACGTCAAGATACGAAGACCAAAAGAGGCATCACCATCGGATTTTTCCTAAGAGCATACCAAATTTGTAGTCCTTGACGAAGAATGTTCTTACATACACCAAACCTTCACTGATCTACATTTTCCTTCCTTTTTCATCAAAGACTGCAAGAAAAAAGCTCTTCAAATCATTAATTCTCCACGCACCAGCACCACTCCTAACAAAATTACAATTCTTCCCAACAGCCAGGTTGCACTGAACGTTTCTAAGGTACTCGCACAAACTAACACTAGAGTCGCCATCGCATCCAGCACTTCCATAAGGAATCTAAGCAGGACAAAATCGAATTACCACGAACCAGTCAATGCAGGAGTTTACACTATAACTTGTGGAGGCTGCGACAGAATATATGGCGGTGAAACAGCAAGGAACCTCGAAACACATCTCAGTGAAAACATTAACGCATGTAGTAACGATAACTTGAACAGGGCCTGCGTTCAGCACTGGAATTCCACCAATTACCTCATGAAATTCAACGACGCCCGACTAGTGATCAGAGAACCTAATTTCCGCAGACGTAAATGGCTTAAATTATCATTAATCGCTGTTTCTAACACAAGCAAAATAAAGACAGCTTCATCATCTTTGAAGTACAGTGGACCCCCGCTTAACGATCACCTCCAAATGCGACAAATTATGTAAGTATTTATGTAAGTGCGTTTGTACGTGTATGTTTGGGGGTCTGAAATGGACTAATCTACTTCACAATATTCCTTATGGGAAAAAATTCGGTCAGTACTGGCACCTGAACATACTACTGGAATGAAAAAAGTTCGTTAACCGGGGGTCCACTGTATTAGCAAACATCCTCCTCAAAAAAAAAAACCTGCCATCACATAGTCTCTGCTGCTAATATTACACAAGAACTTAACAGAGAAGGAACACTGAAACAGACCTCAAATCCAACCACTAAGAGAAATATTTGTCCCATCTATTTTTATGCTGCCTAAGTAATAGCTTTTATAACTTTTTACTCATGTGCAAGTTGACTGTTCTACCACATGTATTACTATTACTACTACTACCACTAGTATTACACCTCACTCTAAGCCTATATATACTCTCAGTGCCCATGTATTGTTTGTAACGGCTTGATGAAGCTCCTGGAGAGCGAAACGTTACCACAATAAAATGTCACATTGGTTGCACTTGTGTTCTTTTTCCTAACATATTGCCGGTGGCCGGGTGGCTAAATCTCCCGCTTCACACACGGAGGGCCCGGGTTCGATTCCCGGCAGGTGGAAACATCTCGACACGTTTCGTTACACCTGTTGTCCTGTTCACCTACCAGCAGATAGGTACCTGGGTGTTAGTCGACTGGTGTGGGTCGCATCCTGGGGGACAAGATTGAGGAAAGTCTCTTAATCTTATCTGATGCACTCGCGAATATTTTATTTTACCTGAAAAAGACGCTGCATTCTGGTGACACGGTGGCCCCGTCCACACACTACCGCTACTTAACCCTTAACCTGCCCTCTTTCTTTTTCGTCTGACCTCCACATGACCTTCAAGTCATGTTTTCAATACACTCTGCACGGGAGTGACAAGCGCAAAGTGCCTGAAACGTTTCATTAACACAGTATCCTAAGTGTTGCACAAGTGCCTTTACAGAAGAATTCATTCAAATTGTGGACAACGTTTCACTCTATGTAGAGGTTGTCATGCTAACTGCTTGAAAACAAAAACGGTTGTCTGTCGGAGGTGATACTTACTTACACTCGAGCGCCCCCTGAGCGCTGTTGTACTGCTGGAAGGACAGGGCCATCGTGCCTGAGAAGAGAAGCTTGGCAGCGCCTCTGCACGTCTGTTGGACTGCTCGGGTCATCGTCTTGTCATCGCAGACTGTGTACAGACACGCTTTTAGCTTGAAGTCGCAGTCTTTTTTGTTGACTCTGCATGAGGCGCGGTAGCAGAGGTCGTGGGTGCCGCAGCACTCAGTTAAGCGACTCACTGGTAAGGTGTCGTCTCGTATGTGCAAACCAAGAGCTCCGCAGCCACTGAAGATGGGCACAGAGGTGTCGAGGGGATCAGGAGACGAGGTCTGTGCCAGAAAGATATGTCAGTATAAGACAGATATGTCATAGAAAAGGGATATTATCCGTTTGAAGCCCGTGATCCCCACAGCGTGCGAGTGTAACAGTAAAAGACGGGATACCTATCCTCACAGTGGACGATGGGATACCTATTCTTACATTTGTTTCTACTAAGATGCACACTACTATGTGAGGCATTGGGCGGAAAAAAGAGAAACACCTCGAAAATCTGGGTTAGTGAAACCGATTTCGTAAAGTTTCTTCTGTTTTGGAAATGTGTAGATTGCCTTTTGGATCTGTAAATTAGGCTCAGAGCCTCATAAAGTGTGGTACCTTGAGCTTCATAGCTCCAATACTACACAATCCTCGAGGTTATTCATGTTTCAGGGGTCAACGCCCCCGCGACCCGGTCTGTAATAAATACATTGAGCTTATAAAGTGCAGGATTGATATTCGCATTACAATGAGCACTACCTTCTCCATAATTTGACTCAAACATAGTTGACTCACCCATTGATTTTCCTCCTCTATCTCAGATCAAATATGATTCTCTTTCCCCAGGAGCTGTATGACCCCTACGGATTTAGCACTTTCTCAAGACTATAATAAAAATAACTATTTTGTAAGCAACAATTTTCTTTTCTGAAATTTTAACCATAGGTAAGATGCTCAAAATTACGTGTATGAACTAACATATTTTTATATTCATAGGGAATTGGAGGCAAGCAGGAAGGGTGGTGGAGTGGCGATGTATGTCAGAGATAATTTAAATTGTTGTCTTAGACATGATATAAGAACATAAGAAAGAAGGAACACTGCAACAGGCCTACTGACCCATGCGGAGCAGGTCCATGCCCCCCCCCCGATTAGCCCAATGACCCACCCAGTCTGGTCACCTCCACTCAAGGAAGGAGCACGGCACCAGACCCAGCAGCACAAGCTAGTCAGGTCCAACTCACACCCACCCACACCCACTCATGTATTTATAATATAAGATTAGAAACATCGGACACAGAATATGTTTGGCTACAGTTTCTCGAGCGTTGTGACAAATTAATTTTGGGTGTGATTTATAGGCCCCAAACCTTGATAGGGAGTGCAGTAAGATGTTATGGGACGAAATTCATAAGGCGTCTAGATATGAAAATGTTGTGTTAATGGGAGATTTTAACTTTAGACAAATTGATTGGAACAATGTGACAGGAAATCTTGAGTCTAGTGACTTTCTTGATACGGTTCAGGATTGCTTTTTCGAACAGTTTGTGACAGAACCAACTAGAACATAAGAAAGAAGGAACACTGCAGCAGGCCTAGTGGCCCATACGAGGCAGGTCCAAGTCTCCTACCGGCTTAAGCCAATGCCCTACCTAGTCAGGTCAGGTCACATTCACTTAAGGAAGGAACACGGCAACTGACCTAGTAGCAGAAGCTAATCGGGTCCAACTCACACCTACTCATGTATTTATCTAACTTATTTTTAAAACTATACAACGTTTTAGCCTCTATAACTGTACTTGGGAGTTTGTTCCACTCATCCACAACTCGATTACCAAACCAGTGTTTTCCTATATCTTTCCTGAATCCGAATTTTTCCAACTTAAAACCATTGCTACGAGTCAGCACGTTATTTACATCCCCTTTATTTATTCCTGTCTTCCATTTATACACCTCAATCATGTCCCCCCTAATTCTACGCCTTTCTAGAGAGTGCAGATTCAGGGCCCTCAGTCTATCCTCATAGAGAAGATTTCTGATACATGGGATCAACTTTGTCATCCTCCTTCGTATGTTTTCCAGAGCAAACTATCTATTTGACTTGGTTCTTGCCAACAAAGAATCACTAATCAATAATCTTGAGGTTAATGATGAGCTTGGGGAAAGTGATCACAAATCGCTTAGTTTCAATATATCATGGAATTACCCAGATAACTGCAAGCAAATCTCTGTTCCAGACTTTTGCTTGGCCGATTTCATGGGACTGAGAAATTACCTGGGTGAGCTAAATTGGGATGATCTGACTATGGGTCAGGGAGGTGATCTTGTTTGCCAATATGACGTTTTCAGAGCATAGTTCTAGCTG